TAGATCACAATGGAACGGATTTTTACCGTTCTTGCCGCGTCCTTTTGATGTGTAATTGGATGCACGTCCAGCTGAAAAGCGGTAAATCTGGAATTCTACTCCCTGCGAAACGTCGTTGATTTGTCGTGTTTCCTGCTTCGAAAATCTAACGATACTAGAGTGCATTAAAACACGGTTGCGAAGTATTTTTTATTAGTAATTACGTTCCATTTTGTCAAATGAATTCATGTTCTTGATGCCTGTTAAAAATACTGAAATGTTTAAATATAAACTGACTGCCAGTTACTTTCTTTTTTACTAATATCCTTTAAAGACCTGGAATTCAAATATCATATTAAATAACAAGGACTTTACTAGAGAGCATTACAATACTCTTCTGAATTATGTTCGTTAGTAATTATGTTGCATTTTATTAGCTGAATTGATTTTCTTTATGCAAACTGTATTAACAATACTGAAATATTTAAGCATAAGCTGAGTCCAGTTATTTTCTTTTTTCACGCCTATGCTTTTGAATCATGTATTTAAATTAAGATCTAAAATTCAAATATATTAAATAAAAAGAATTTTTATACCAAAACAAATAAAATACAAAATTTTAACTATAAATAATATTTATCGTATAGTCCGTGAATATTATGCTTCATTTATATAATACATACGCAGCACAAGAATGAAATATTTTCACAAAAATAATATATTTTCTACGAAAGAAAAAACTGTCATCACTGAGGAATAATTGACTGATCAAGCAAATGAAAGAAAATTTTAATTCGTAAATGCAAATACATATTGGTCACTAAAAAAATTAATTTTAGCACCATTTTGTATGCTAGTTGATTTTCATGGGTTCTTTGTTTACAAAGGGATATTTTCCAATTAAAGATAAAATAGATTAAATAAGATAAAGGATTAAATAAGAACTATTAATTGTAAGGTATGCCTAACATGATTAATGCTAGCAGCACCATATTTCAGTCTTTTTAAAGAATATTTATTATTATAAATATTATGACTATTATTATTGAATATTTATTTCTTCGGAAGAAGATTTAAATGGTATTTCACAAATAATGAATTCTTTTAACTTTTCCATTCAATTCAATCATGATATTTCAATTCAATTCAATCATGATCACTTCTGTACTTTCCCTAGATATATTAACAACAACTAAATCAAAGTAGATGCAGAACTGCAACCATTCTTTTAGTTTTTTTCTTCTATTAAAATTACTCGGTAAACATCTTCAATTGATGAATTTCAAACTTGCTCTTTTGTTGTTCTTGAAACATGGACAACAAGAAACTCAGTCTGATAGTTTGTTTTATCATATTTACTGCTTAATATTTATTTATTTCTAGAATTTTCTACGTATTTACATAAATAATATCTAACAAATTATTATTAAAAGATTTGGTAATTGTTATGCACAAATTATTTATTCAATACTAGGTTAAAAAAACATAGAAAATCAATAAGGGATATAGTGTAAAATAAGATTTATCCTTTTTATCTAGTCCCTATGGCTTTTGCAATTCACTTGCATTGCTGTGTATATCATGCCTCTCTAATACGCCATTGACACAATTAGAGCGATATGCGAAACTATTCCAATTTAGTACTAGAAATGGAAAGCCCGAAAGAAGTACCTGTCTCCAGCGGTATTCTGGAGAGCCCATGTGAAGTAAAGTCTGATGCTATATAAGGTGGTACCATGTATGGGCGAAGCCCGACCTACCTAATCCCCCGAAGGTCTATATAAGGTGGTATCGCATTCTCTCGTGCTGTCGTAGTGTAAATGGTGAGCATTCAGTTAAGAGTTGTGGCTCGAATCCCGGCGAAGACACTGCTGATCTTTCGTGTTCCACGATCTGAAAAAACTTCGTGTCTCTACAAAACAAGTGCTCGAATTCAAATGTGACTGACGACAACTTGTCAGCGCTTGAGTTTGGTTGACTGTGTGTCATGCCTCCAGCGAATCGTCTTTAAATGGGGAAGTACGTGAGGAACTATCCCATTTCACAGTGCATAGGTGTTCTTGCGGTGCAAGTGTTAACACGTCCAGCTGTAGCAACTGAAAGGTCAGTGGTTGGAATGACGGCAAGAACTCAATTGATGATTACCGTTTTCTGGTTCGAAAAAAAATGGTCTCTGCAATCATATAAAATCAGAATATTAAAAAAAATTAGAACTAAAAATGGCGGGACAAAAGACATAAATCGAAGTAAATGGCCGTACATCGTAAAACGTACCTGGAAGTGGGAAAACAAAGATTATTCGAGAATGGGCATCCTGTGAGGCATTTTATTTTCTACCACGTTAGCCTCTTGGTGCTTTTGAAATACGAGTGTAATTTCTTTCGAAAATGTTTTAAAGCCACAAATATAATTGAAATTTAGATTTTTCTTTGTGCCCTTGCATCATACTGAATCAATCTGCATCAGATTAAGGGTTTTTCGCTTTTTTTATATTTATGTATAAAATCAAAGAAAAGACTTGCGTAAAAAATACAACATATTTTTGCTCAAAAATAAGAATTTATAACATAAAATTTTATGAATTTTTTAAAAATTTTCTTCAGTTATATTTAAAACTAAAATTTAAATGTTAATTTTTATAACAGATATTCCGGTGAGAATGATAATAATGTAGAATCATTTGGTTTCCTTTATGGAGTAGGAACTGAAATTTCTGTTGTGCTCTAGTCGGGACTTGGATAGATCAGAAAAAAACTGTGCCACAAAGATATGGGGAAGAAAAATCTTTTATTTCTCAGAATTTCGCTAAAACTTTTAGTTCTGCTTGTACTAGATTTCAAAAGTTTAAATGAATATTATTTCTTAGTGTAGGTTTTAGTTCAAATTTAGTATTTTTCTTAGTTCAATGTATATTCTATCATCACATCTTTCAAAATAAATAGCAATTCTTCACTGTTATTTGAATTACATTATATCCAAACAATAAACGTAGGTTTGATAATTATTTTCATTTTAAAAACAATTTCTCACTTTTTAATGGGATAAATTTCTTATATCTAAGTTAACGTGATCTTTAGTATTTACAATTTAGGAACCCCCTCAGTACTGAGAACTTTATAAGTAAGTCGTTCATTACTTTTCCGTTAACTTATTTATTTCTTACTTTTAGATTAAATGAAATGAGATCCAAATAAAATACACTAACACTAGTTATTGGTAACTTACTGGAGGAGAAAAGTATTCATTTCACGAACAACAAATAGATCTGCCCTGTAACTTGTCATGACTCAAGCATGGAATGGGTCATTCCTCAATTAAGGGATTAATTTAATTATGAATATGTAGACAACTTCATTGAAAAATGCTATACCCTACATCAGTAGCAGTGCCTATTGTCAGTATTTCCACATTGTTGACTATCAAATATTCTGTTCTATATTTTGTGAATTTGCAAGCGATTCGCGCTACATGAATTGCATTATCAGCTTGTGCCTGTGTTGGCTTTCTGTACAACGGCTGAGTGATGCCTTTCTATACCTGTTTTTGATATTTCTAGTAATGTTTACAAATATGTACAATTCGAAATTTCAGTAAATTATTTTGAAGAGATTTTCAGGGATTTACCTCGGAGTAAGGCAGGGATTTACCTCTGAACTAAGGCCGAAGCTTAGTAGGACTAGTGAAGAAATCTATAAAACGTTTCCTATATTTAGATATCACAGGCCAATATTCTGCGTTTTTTTTTTTTTTTTTTTTTTTTTTTTTTTTATATATATTATTCCAGACAAAAAGCTTTTTCTGACAGACTGCTTTCTAGTCTCTCGCATATTCTGATCTCTAATGAGTGCAGGTTAAAAAAATAATCTCTGATTCTTCCACTGAGAGCTTTAGCGATTAGCTCTAAATTATTTATTCTTTGCTTGCTTACTTAAACTTCTGTTACTGCAGTTCTTTTCAAAATATTTTACTTATTAATACTTTTTTGTTTAAATAATTAAAAATAGAATGTTTTTTGAAATATTCTGAAATTTGTTTAATTTAGCTTGTTGCACAATACTATTTTTAATTAAATCAAGGACACTATAATTTTCAGTAACAGCAGTGGGGCAGGATAGGAATGTAACACGTAACTTTGAAGTTAATACTTAATATAATTTTTCGCCCTATTTTCGAAAACATCTTTACATCTGTAGAGTCATAAGGTTTGTTTGAAGCAGGACACGTGAAAAATGTGCAGTGCCATCACCGGGTCTCGAACCTTGGACTTCTTGAACACGTGTCGAGGACGCTTCCAACTACACCACGAAAATATGCGAAAAGGACAGAAAAATACCTTATATACTCCACCTTTTAAAGGTGACTGGGTATCAGGGGACTCAATCGCCAGATCCTGGTGGTGACGAATTGTCGTCCACCACCTTTTTTAGTTCATGCGCCATTTCTAAAGTCATTAGGCTTGTTAGAAGCAGAAAACGGGAAAATGTGCAGTGCCCTCGCCAGGACATGAACCCTGGACCTCTCGAATACGTGTCGAGTATGCTTCCCATTACACCACGAAGGTGGGAAAGGAGGGACAAAATACCTTCCTTATACATCTACTTCGCGAAGTTTAAAAATTCGAATGAAAGGCTTTTCCTCTCTCATCTTCCCAACTTTCCTATAATGAAAATTCTTCCCTTCGGCTGACGTCGTACCTTTTCCTTTCACACTACAATCTCTTACTTCATTTCAGATATCTTGAAACCACTTTTCGAGAAGTTGAATGGTATATGAAATTATGAACATGTTGAGACAGAGAATAATAATAGTTGAGAAGCAGTACCAATGCACGAAATGTTAAAAAATTAATTTCTGCAGCAGTTTCACAGAAGCTGACGCGTACTTCGTTTTACGCAAAAATTGTTCTAATATTAAGAAGTATTCAATAATTTTCTGAAATTTTATAAAAAAATTTCCTAATAATACTCAACAATGATTTTACTTTTAAATCTATACCATATGTTTTATTTTATGTAGAAAATATCAAAATGAAGGGATCTGGACTGTTGTTGGACATGAAGCTGTGGTTTATGATAGTTGTGGCAATGGAAATTACTGAAGTATATTGCCATCATTACTATCCTGTCTTCTACACTCTGGGACATCACCATGGGTAATGATATTAATTTTGAGAATAAATTCAAAGACCTCGTAATCTATATCGAAAATAGTTGATAAATATGCTTTAATTTAAACAGCAAATGATTCATTTCTATGAAAACATAAATGAACCCCAAAATAATATTTTATTAAAATAATTTTTCTTAATGTTTTAGACATCATCACCATAAGAAAAAAATTGAGATTCACACAAAATCGGAACATCATCATCATCACCATCATCACCACGGACATCACCATGGTCACCACCACAAACATGGGCATCACCATGACCATAAACATGGACATCACCATGGCCATCATCACGGTCATCATCACCATCATGGGCATGAACATAAGCATCATCATGGACATCATCACGGTCACCACCACCACCACGGTCATCATCACGGGCACCATCATGGTCATCATCACAAACATCATCATGGACACCATCATGGACATCATCATGCTCATCATCACGGACACCATCACGGACATCATCATGGTCATCACCATGGCCATCACCACCACCACGGGCACCATCATGGCCATCACCATGGGCATCATCATGGACATCACCATGGTCATCACCACGGCCATCACCATGGTCATCATCATGGTCACCATCATGGACATCATCACGGCCACCATCATGGACATCATCACGGCCACCACCATGGACATCATCACGGCCACCATCACGGACATCATCACGGACATCATCATGGTCACCATCACGGTCATCATCATGGACACCATCATGGCCATCATCATGGGCACCATCATGGCCACCAGTATGAAGGACATGCTAGCGAAATACAAAATACTCTGCACTTTTATAATCTTTTTGGCCCTCAGTACTGAAGGAAGGAAAATGTCCTTTACATCCCAAAATTGAAATGCCTTAACTCACGCTTACAATGTGCGTTAAGAAAATACGATTTCATTCCTGTGTCTATACAAGCATAATTTCCAGTTCTTTATTATCATAAATAAACTGAAGCAAAAACATGTCTACCTGAAGATGTTTCGGTAAAGTTACTGGATGGAGAAATGCTTTCGAATGATATTTTTTGCACTTGAAGTTTGAACAGTCAAATTTATCTTTCTTCATAGAATGTTTTGTACATTGAGAGACAGCATGTATTTTGCGTAAAACAACAGCAAGGGTAACATTGACAGTAGCAATAATAAGAAACACAGATACAGCATCAAAGTTTTAGTTGCAAATTATAGTATAAAAGTGCCTTGTTCATTAATGTAGGAATATATTAACTTTTCTTTATAAGGATTTCCTTAAATGTATATATTTATCAAAGAATAAAATTGAGTGTTGAAGTTAAAGAGCTGTCTATATAGATTGCTACTTTGTATGTGTTTAATATTTTCTATTTTAAAATACTTAAAAATACGGTTAAAGTTGTGTGCTGATTATGAACATTATCTCCAAACAAAGTGATTACTCATTGCTTTACTTTGAACGCCATTTTAATGCTACAGTCATTCTGCGAATTTAATTATAATGGAAATAAAATATTTCGTTACACAAAGATTCGTGATAAGCGCGTTTCTAAGAGGAAAAAAAAAAAAAAAAAGCGACGAAATTGTTTAGTGCTAGAAGTAAACGGACAAAATTGTTAAGAAAATTTCAAGTAATTAGTTCAAACATTTTAGTTCATTTTTCTTAAATTTCATTAGATGATTTTAGAGACTTTTTTCATTAAATTCAGATTTCGCAATAGGAATTGAAAGTCCAAATTAGTGAAAATGATTATCCTTCTTTTGAAGCCTGAAGCTGTAAACAATAATACACACTCACAATTACATACAACAGTAACGACAAGAACCAACAAATTTTGATTTGTATATAAACTCTAGATTTTGGTAGTACTTATTATCAAACCTGTAACAAAATCTGAAATAGATTTTGCGAAAATTATTATGAGGATAAAAGCTTTATACCGTGTAATAATAAAGAGATTCAGCGTAAATATCAGTGAAAACAAAGTTTAATGCTGATTCCACTTTTGTTGAAACTCAGCGCAGCGTATCAAAGCATTACTATTTATTATCGTATACAGTTTCAGGGAAAGTTACAGAGCCTCAGAAAGAAGGTGAAATGTTTGGTCGCTCTCCCACCCCCGAAAAAAAAAAAAGGAAGAAATGAATGTACTTAAAACATGTTTTTTTCCCCCTGTGACTAGAAGAGTGGAAATCGTGTCATTCACAACGGAACTGGTATCTAGGAAATCATCGGAATTTTATAAAAACTGCCTCTACTAATGTGGACAATAATTACGGCTCTCGAAAACTGGAAATTAAGATTTTAATCTCATTAACTGACATACAAGACGGAAAGTCACAAAACTTCTGATGGCGCAGCATTGTCTCCTCCAAAGTCTGATAATGTAATATACTTCTAATATTTCACGCGGCAGACAATAATTCTGAAACCTTTTTAAAGCCCTCCTGAATGCAAGGATGTAGGATAAAGACTTCGGTATGATAAAGAGTGTTGTAAATAAGCAATATGTATCTAAATAAAAATAAAGTCAGGAAATTAATTCAAACATATACAAACAGCAGCGCTTTTTGTTGCTGTTTCCTTTTTTGTTTGTTCACTACTTTCAATAAAATTTTGTTCCTTCAATAAACTTTTGTTATTGCACAATATTGTACTTTAGAAAGGAATAATGATACATTTTTAACTGCTATAACTATTTAATTTCATTTATGACAAACACAGCTCTCAAAAAATGTTAAGAATGGCATAATTTATTCTGGTTCCAAAAGGAACTGCGATATATGTTTTACTAATGTGTCCGGCGCGCAGTATTCGTTCAAAAGTACGTTAAAGCAGTATAACAGGTATAACAGTTTATAAATAAATGTATTTATCATGGTTAGATGACTTTCAGAATGCACCCTCATATTTAAGATGCCGTAAATGAATAAGAAACAATATAATTGGAAGAGAACCACTGCAACGCATAATTTATAATTATACAAAATAGGTATCTCAGATTTGCATAAAACTCTATCAATTTCAATGGAAAAAGACTTAGATCTTTCTTATTCAGGAGAGATAAAATATTTTATTCCTGCACGTATACTACTCTTTAATAAATAAGTGCTTTAAAATTAAGCACCTCTAGATTGGCGTAGATTTATAAAATATTTATAAATCTACGCCAATCTAGAGGTGCTTAATTTTAAAGCACTTATTTAATATTTAATGCGAAGTTTAGTGTATTACCCACAAGGAGATTAACACTAGAATGGCCACGGAAATAAATTATATATAGAAGAAGCGATAAATTTTATTTGTGTGACCTTTATGTAACACATACTTTTTTCGAATGCATAAAATATTTTTAAATATGTTTCTTTAGTAAAATACGTTTCACTTGTTCGAAAAGAAAACCATTTTTTAACTTTTTTGCTCTTCGAATGGATAACTCATTTCGAAGAGAAAAGAAATGGAAAAAGAAGAAATCTTATAATATTGAGGAGATAGCTAATGCCCGGTCATGCGTGAACTACACAATTGACAGCTCGACACTATCGAAACTTGACACATTTTTAATGAAATCATTGATGAGTGCTGCACATTAGGTTCCCTGGCAGGGGGCGGAATTGAGGGACATCCACGGACAGCCACATGAAGGAAGGAAGGAAGTAAAGGCTTTTTACCTCAGAAGGCGGACCATGACAAACTTTGGAAATGGTAATAAAAAATATTTCAGTAAAAAGAGAGGGAAAAGCAGTAGTTTTTGTAGCAATTACCGGTGAAAACGTAACAGATTTTGGTTGGATCTTGCATGTTTAATTACGTGGCGGATATACAGTATTTAAACGCTGAATTCAGAGAGAGGATGCGTAGTTCTGTAGTGTGCTCCGCATTCCACAGGTAAGGAATATTCACAGATTATTTGCCCAATGGATTAACTATTTTATTTCGGATATTTTGTAATGTGGCCTCTTAAAGGATTCATCTAGGGCTCGGTTCCTGATGTACAGATTCGACATTTCTGATGGTGAGGAATTCGTGTATTTTTTAAAAGCGTTTCTCCTTGATTATCATGCATCCTCAAGAAAATTGTAATAAATTGCAATTGGACAATTTGGACATTAACACCAGTGAAGTTTTATAAGTTGCAATACTTGTTTAAATACTTATTTATCCAAAACGATTCTTGTTAGGGATTTGGAATTCAGATATATATATATATAAATTGGAAGTTACCGGAAAACATGAGAAATTCTCATAGCAAGCACTTTATAAAATTATCTTCTGTATAATCGAAAAAAGTCTCAAAACAAATTAGCGTAAAAAACAAGCAATAACTTCGAAAACGAAAGTATAACTAAGTTTTATTAATTTAGCGCATATATTCCGCTGAGGATTAAAAATATTTATCAAGAGCTAAGATAAATAAATCAGCAACAATAAGAAGGATCTATTAAACAAAATACGTTTGATTTGAATTTTAAAGCGATAAAGAGCAGTATACGTGCAGGTGAATGATAAAATTTAACATTGCGAATATTTTTCACTTATTTGAAACAAGCAACAATCAGAGTAAGTGTAAATATCAGAGGGTATTGCCAAAACAAATAATACGTAGTCTCTTTTATTTAGGAAAACGTTTTCGCTTTCTTATGAGTTTTGATTCAAAAAAGGTAAAATACAATTCTGAAAGGCTATTTAAAAAATATATTTATCAATATACCGTTTAAAATATATAAATAGATTTTGTGAATACCTGTTAAACGAGAGATTATGACAATATATACGTAGTAAAACGACTCATCCAAAATTACATCGGCCGTTTCATCGAACCATCCGCTTAAAATATAAGCTCTTTTTATTTCTCATTTTAATACATTACTTTTTCTTTGCACAAACAGTATGCTGTTTAATTAACTTTATGACGAACCATAATCCAGCTGTTTTAGTATAAATTTATTTATACCATATTCATCAGTTCTTATAAATCTGATTTGCATTGCATGAATAACATAATTGTTTGCTCTATTTTGATGACGGAGCTTCTTTCAAATATTCTGTCCTTCAAAAGTCCTTTCTCAAGAAGGAGATGCTTCTTTATTCCGTTTACTTAGGAAACTAAATGCCCAAAATAGCTCTTCGAGCTTACATTTTTGCTGTCAACACTGAAAAGTTTAATTGGGAATTTAAATTTGTACATTGCTGTTTTACTGTAATTTTTATTTATATTGTAATTATACATAATTTATAAATTATGTCAGTATATTTTACGAATTCATGTTAGCAAAAAATTTATTTTATCTAAAGAGTGAAATTTGTTTTATTAAAACTATTTTGCATAAAAATATGAAAAAACGTGATATGAAAAAGCGGGTAGTACTGTCATTTTCAGCTAACGATACTGTGCATTCTTACCCTGTCTGATGTTATGTAAATGAAACAGAATTGCAAAGAGAGTATTCTTAATCAAATTGCTTATTGTGATTGTCCTAGCTTAGGCAATGTATGCAAATGTATTTAAGCGTTTAATGCACTTAGTGTTTTCCATTTTCTCGTTTATATAAGCGACACCAACTCACCTTATTGAGGCGTGTACTATAACCTTTCTAATTTTAATAACCTTGTCTAATTTCTAGCCATTGATTCCTTATTTTAAGCACAGCATTTTTCTCTGTATATTAAATTTGCTTGTGGCAATACTTAAAAGCTTTGTTTTCATTTATAACTGCCATTCAATTAATAAGCAACTTTAAATATAACAGTTCATAAATAATCCTTTTATTTTCAGTATTATAATTAATAAAATTTTTGGCTGAAATTTATACTATAAAAAATTATAAATAATTTGCTAACCATGCTATCTTATTTTCTTGAATTAACTTGCTTATTTTAAGACAAACAACAAGAGCAAATCGGTTAATAATTTTTGTTTCCAAAAGTACTAGTTTACTGCTGTTGACTAAAAATCGGTTCACAGCTTTTAACATATTATTAGGTGAACTCATATTAACCGAGGAAAAAACTTCTTGCGTGAATTATAGTAAACATGTGAGCACCGACTGAGGAAAAATACATTGGTAACCTTATATGTAATAAATAAAACGCAAATGAATGAAATTCACAAATAAACAGAGACATTCAAATTCAGATTACGCATGCAGATAGATGTTCATTTATTATTTTAGTTTTCGTTCCGTGAGTCGATCTCCTGTTTGCATGAGAAATATTTAAGAACTTTCGGAAAATAGCGCTGTAGTTTCATATATCATTATTTTCAGCAGCTTATATTTTTATCATTATATCTTTTTAGATAAACAGATTCGCACCTTTTTTTTTTTTTTTTTCAGAGCTATTGAAAGTTCAAGGTTGAAAGATCTTTCATGCCAGAGAAGGACGCTAAAAAAATATCACAGTAGCACAGTATGTACTATAGTTAATTTTATGCAGATATGACTTATTTTTAATTTCATTTACATTTCTGTTATTGCCAGTGACACTATATGAAGCGCTTGTATGCTAACATCCTGTTAAATTTTTATATACATGTTTACGGTAGTAAAAGATAAAGTATTAAATTGCACTACTAAAATCTTCAGTAAAAATAATATAAAACAAAATGAAATAAAAAATGCAATAAACAAATACGTCGATTATACAATCTGCAAAACGCGTCATGTACACTTTGAAGTCAAAAAAGAAAAAGATATTAGAAACAAAATTGCACTGGCAGTTAAGGGAGATAAAATTTTAATCTGCCGAGTAAATGAAAGATAATATTAATATCAATTCATAACTGTTATTTGAGTTGTCAAAAAGAAATTCGTTTCAATGGCATTTAAATGTTAACACATCTATTTATTCAGATTATTTATTTTAAATATATTTTTCAATCGAAGATAAAATGAATTTACCGGTTGAAGAGAAAGCGTTCGAACGCAATGAATATATAATGACTGTAACAGAATGTATCTTAATCCTTATATTTCAATTATTTAAAAATTGCTTTTGCCTTTTTGTGTTTGCTGTTCCGTTAAAAACTATATGGTAGACAGAAAAGACAATTTAAAGAATACCTTATCAATCACAAATGCTCTAGATGAGCGGTTGGTTTAATCCTAGTACACGGTGCACATGGAATTTGGCTACTTTTGGCGACTTTATGATGAGCAGTAAAGGCGCGACATATATAGTACGTCTTCAAGAATAATAGTTACAAATCTATTAAAGTGTTAAAATATATGTTATATTAATTGGGATTTTAAACGATGAACAAATTAATTAACGAAAGACATTTTAATTAGACAAACGATTATTACATAAATTTAACATTTAAGAGAATTAAACAAGTAATGATTCGTCAAAGTTCTTTTTGAACAGAAGCAGCGTCTCTGCTTTCACGTCAATCGTCTATCATCTCAAAACGGTAATTCCCCTAATTTTTGCTTGGCGCCTTCGCAGCTCGTAGAGAGAATGACGTCACGGCATCTGGTTTTCATCACAGCTCCAAGCGATCGGCACTACATTTCGGCCATCCGAGGGTGGACTGGCCCTCCAGGACACTGCAAAATACAAACAAACAAACAAAAAAAAAAAAAAACAAAGCAACAAGCAAGAATATACAATAACAGAAATAAGTGTTCGTGAAAAATTTTAAGGTGCCGTCCATTTCTTGAGGAATTCGGCACATGTGGTGGTGCATATGGGACCCTCATGGCATCCTTCCTTTATTACGTCATAGGTGTTGCCACCCTTAACTTTCTTGATCTTATAAGGTCCGAAATACTTCGCTCTTAATTTTAAGTGTGGTCCGAATTGAGTCCTTTTGATTGCCACTAAGTCACCAACTTTGTACGGCTGTGCTTGTCTTCTTTTGGCATTATATGTTTTTTTTATTTTCCTGTTGGACTTGGAAAATTTGCCTCTTGGCTTGCTTTCGTAATTCTTCTCTTTGAGACTCGAATTGAGATTGAAACTCACTTTCTATCAGCTCTTTAAGCTGATCGGTGCCTTTGCTGTTCATTTTAGTACCGAAGAGTAATTCGAACGGAGTGGTGTTAATGCTTCTTTGATATGTTGAGTTAAGCGTTCTCTGAACTTCGTGTGTATGTTTATACCATTCGGTTGGTTTTTTTAAGGACAGTTTCGCTAATACTGATATAATGACTTGGTTGATTCGTTCGACTTGTCCATTTGCTCTCGGCAGGCCTGTGGTGATTAGATGATGTTTAATATCTTCTTTAGCACAGTAGTCAGAAAACTCACTGGATGTGAAAGCCGTTCCTCTATCAGAAATGATCTGACAAGGGCTTCCAAAAATGGCCTTCTGATTCTCTAACTTCGCTATCACCTCGGCTGAGGTCGTAGATTTTGTTGGATAAATCCAAGTAAATTTAGTAAAGGCGTCGACCACTACTAATAGGTGCTTGTAGTTTTTATGGGTACTTTCCAGAGGACCCAAGTGATCTATATGATAAGTATGCAACGGAATGTCCTCCTTGAATCGCGGATGTAAAAATCCTTCCTTTTTCCCTGCTTTGCGATTTATTAAGATGCAATGAACGCAATTCGCGATAACGTTTTCTATCTTCTGCCGAAGTTTGGGAATGAAATAGTATTCATCCAGGTGTTTCTCTGTATGTTTGATACCGGTGTGCCCTTTCTCGTGAGCATCTTTTATGATTTCAGTCTGCATACTTTCCGGTACGACTATCAATTCTTTACCGTCAATAAACTTGTATAGTACGCCATTTCTATTACAATAATTTTCATAACTTGAGGTTTTCAATAATTCCTTAATGGTTTTTATTTCAGTGTCATTTTCTTGAGCAAGTTTTAATTTAGGTAAGATATTTTCAATAGAAATGCATAAGACGTTTACAGGAGCTCTACTTAGAGCATCTACATGTGGCATTCTAACACCTTTACGATGCTCTATAACATAATCGAATTCTTGTAACAACAGAGCCCAACGAGCAACACGCGTCGCTAAATCTCTTTTTTCCATCGTCCGTTGAAATGCTGAACAGTCCGTCACTATCTTAAATGAAATTCCCAAAAGGTAAACACGGAACCTTTTTCAGTGCTTCTACGATCGCGAGGACCTCCAACTCGTAACTTGAGTACTTTTTCTCTGCATCAGAGGTTTTCCTACTCATAAAATAAGTGGGGTGAAAACTGCTATCACCTGGGGGTTTCTGCATTAGAATCGCCCCATATCCTTCTATACTGGCGTCTGTGTGTAGTTCGGTTTCATAATTAGGGTTATAAATTGCAAGTACAGGCTTCTCAGCTAGCGCTGATTTCAAACGATTGAATGCGATCTTTTGTTCTTCACCGAATTCGAACTTATTATTACCCTTTTTTAGCAGGTCGCTAAGTGGCTTGGCAATTATAGAGTATTTATTAATAAATTTTCTGAAATACCCTGTCAGCCCAAGAAAACTTTGGATCTGTTTTAAATTAGATGGTTCAGGGAAATTTATAACAGCTTGCGTCTTCAAGGTGGATGGGAAAATTTTACCCTCTTCTATGACATGACCTAAAAAGTCAATTCGTTTCTTTAAGAATTGCGATTTTTTAAAATTTATTTCCAATCCGTATTCACTCGCTAGATTTAAAACTTGACTCAGCCTCTCGATTCCCTCTTCGTATGAGGCGGACAAAATGATGATATCGTCCATGTACGGCAAAACGATGCCATCGTTAACTAACGGTCGGAAAATGGTATTTATGAATCTCTGGAATACAGCTGGTGAGTTACAGAGTCCAAACGGCACTTTCAAAAACTGGTACTGTCCTTCATGCGTAACAAATGATGTGTACTTCCGACTTTCCTTTTCGACGTCCACGTGAAAAAAGCCATTTTTGAGATCAATAGTGCTGAAAAACACGTGCTTCTTGAAGGCGGTCTAGGATATCCTCAATCAGGGGAAGGGGAAATCTATCCTTTACGACAACTTTGTTTAAACGACGATAATCAACGCAAACTCTTGGTGTCCCGTCTTTCTTTTTAACGATGACCAATGGGCTGGAATATTCCGAAGAACTCTGTTCTATAATTCCTGACTTTAGCCATTCGGATATTTGGGTTTCAACAATTTTCTTTTCCGCAAACGGTAATCTACGCGGTTGATGCGATACTGGTTCGTTATTTTTAACGAAAATTTTTAACTGTATGTCCGTAGATTTGGTCTTACATGGCATATAGTTCGAAACTAACTGTTGAACAGTCTCTTTAAAGTAGTTTGGAACACTAGGTGCAATGTTTATTTCGTCTTCGTTACTAGCTAGGTCAACAGGTAAAACAGATACAATATTTACTTTCTCTACACTCTGTGACTTACTTTTTATGGTAACCCCATTTTCATTTATTAATATTTCACCTTTTAATATTACGTTTAAGCCTAAAATGGCTTCATGTGTCATTACATTGTTGTCTACAACACAAATATCTGCAGTACACTGGAAATCATTAATTTTAATATTACCTTTAAAGAAACCTAGAGGTTTTACTTGACATTTACCGAACCCACTCAGCGTTGAACTTACGGGCACGAGGCCTTCGATATTCAGTTTATCAAAAGTCGATCTACATAACAAAGTAGTTTGACTTCCTGTGTCTATTAACGCGGTTACATATACATCATTAATTTTTACTTCTTTGGTCAACTTCGAGACTACATCAATATTCACGGTTGATACTTCTGGTTTCGAATTCGTATTTGAGCATTCGAAACTTCGGTGCCCAAATTCTTTACATTTAAAACACTTGACTCCCTTATCTTTATGAACACATTGTTTGGAAATATGACCGCTTTCACCGCAGTTGAAACAGGTTGTATTACGTTTAATTTCAGGAATTGTTCCTCGACTATCGGTTACGTTACGCTTTGTTTGGTTAACAGAATTTTTTGAGTCATATTTATGTCTAGATTCAATTTTTTGTTTACTTTCAGATTTTGTTTTAGACGTTCGCGACTTTTCTTCATCATCACATATCTGTTGATAAAGCTTCAATTTGTTCTTAAAATCAGTTAATGTTTGTGACCCATACAAGCAAGATTTTTTAAACGCGGAGCCTGGTATACCATCTATAACATATCGTATTAAAGCAACATCTTCAATTTGACCATTTTTAGCAATTCTTTTCATATTTAAAAAAAACTCATCAAATGTTTCATTGCTCTTCATTTTTTGTTTTGATAATAACTCATGCAGTTCGGGCCGAATTGCAGCTGGACCGGAATTCATCAAGAATAGCATTCTTAAAAATTTGCCATGAGTTCAACTTTGGTTCACTAAGAACAAATAGTTTTGCTTTGCCTGTCATCAGGCGTTTAGCAAAAATCAGTTTTTGTAAATCATTTAACTGAAGAATGGTAGCTGCATCTTCAAAACTTTCGACCCAACTACTGACATTT